TTATTATTTTTAATTAAATTAAATATTTATTAAATTTTAAATAAAAAACAAAACCGTTAGCATATTTAAAATTTTTGTTTCTATTTAAAATTTAATAATTGTTTAATTTATTTTAATATATTTTAACATATCAAATCAAAATTTCTATTATTATTATTTCACTTTTTATTTTTATTTTAATTATTTTATTTTATTTTTTAATATAACTATTATTATAATATAAATCATATTTTAATAATTACTAAATTATAAAAGTATAATAAATAATATTATTATTTTTAATTAAATTAAATATTTATTAAATTTTAAATAAAAAACAAAACCGTTAGCATATTTAAAATTTTTGTTTCTATTTAAAATTTAATAATTGTTTAATTTATTTTAATATATTTTAACATATCAAATCAAAATTTCTATTATTATTATTTCACTTTTTATTTTTATTTTAATTATTTTATTTTATTTTTTAATATAACTATTATTATAATATAAATCATATTTTAATAATTACTAAATTATAAAAGTATAATAAATAATATTATTATTTTTAATTAAATTAAATATTTATTAAATTTTAAATAAAAAACAAAACCGTTAGCATATTTAAAATTTTTGTTTCTATTTAAAATTTAATAATTGTTTAATTTATTTTAATATATTTTAACATATCAAATCAAAATTTCTATTATTATTATTTCACTTTTTATTTTTATTTTAATTATTTTATTTTATTTTTTAATATAACTATTATTATAATATAAATCATATTTTAATAATTACTAAATTATAAAAGTATAATAAATAATATTATTATTTTTAATTAAATTAAATATTTATTAAATTTTAAATAAAAAACAAAACCGTTAGCATATTTAAAATTTTTGTTTCTATTTAAAATTTAATAATTGTTTAATTTATTTTAATATATTTTAACATATCAAATCAAAATTTCTATTATTATTATTTCACTTTTTATTTTTATTTTAATTATTTTATTTTATTTTTTAATATAACTATTATTATAATATAAATCATATTTTAATAATTACTAAATTATAAAAGTATAATAAATAATATTATTATTTTTAATTAAATTAAATATTTATTAAATTTTAAATAAAAAACAAAACCGTTAGCATATTTAAAATTTTTGTTTCTATTTAAAATTTAATAATTGTTTAATTTATTTTAATATATTTTAACATATCAAATCAAAATTTCTATTATTATTATTTCACTTTTTATTTTTATTTTAATTATTTTATTTTATTTTTTAATATAACTATTATTATAATATAAATCATATTTTAATAATTACTAAATTATAAAAGTATAATAAATAATATTATTATTTTTAATTAAATTAAATATTTATTAAATTTTAAATAAAAAACAAAACCGTTAGCATATTTAAAATTTTTGTTTCTATTTAAAATTTAATAATTGTTTAATTTATTTTAATATATTTTAACATATCAAATCAAAATTTCTATTATTATTATTTCACTTTTTATTTTTATTTTAATTATTTTATTTTATTTTTTAATATAACTATTATTATAATATAAATCATATTTTAATAATTACTAAATTATAAAAGTATAATAAATAATATTATTATTTTTAATTAAATTAAATATTTATTAAATTTTAAATAAAAAACAAAACCGTTAGCATATTTAAAATTTTTGTTTCTATTTAAAATTTAATAATTGTTTAATTTATTTTAATATATTTTAACATATCAAATCAAAATTTCTATTATTATTATTTCACTTTTTATTTTTATTTTAATTATTTTATTTTATTTTTTAATATAACTATTATTATAATATAAATCATATTTTAATAATTACTAAATTATAAAAGTATAATAAATAATATTATTATTTTTAATTAAATTAAATATTTATTAAATTTTAAATAAAAAACAAAACCGTTAGCATATTTAAAATTTTTGTTTCTATTTAAAATTTAATAATTGTTTAATTTATTTTAATATATTTTAACATATCAAATCAAAATTTCTATTATTATTATTTCACTTTTTATTTTTATTTTAATTATTTTATTTTATTTTTTAATATAACTATTATTATAATATAAATCATATTTTAATAATTACTAAATTATAAAAGTATAATAAATAATATTATTATTTTTAATTAAATTAAATATTTATTAAATTTTAAATAAAAAACAAAACCGTTAGCATATTTAAAATTTTTGTTTCTATTTAAAATTTAATAATTGTTTAATTTATTTTAATATATTTTAACATATCAAATCAAAATTTCTATTATTATTATTTCACTTTTTATTTTTATTTTAATTATTTTATTTTATTTTTTAATATAACTATTATTATAATATAAATCATATTTTAATAATTACTAAATTATAAAAGTATAATAAATAATATTATTATTTTTAATTAAATTAAATATTTATTAAATTTTAAATAAAAAACAAAACCGTTAGCATATTTAAAATTTTTGTTTCTATTTAAAATTTAATAATTGTTTAATTTATTTTAATATATTTTAACATATCAAATCAAAATTTCTATTATTATTATTTCACTTTTTATTTTTATTTTAATTATTTTATTTTATTTTTTAATATAACTATTATTATAATATAAATCATATTTTAATAATTACTAAATTATAAAAGTATAATAAATAATATTATTATTTTTAATTAAATTAAATATTTATTAAATTTTAAATAAAAAACAAAACCGTTAGCATATTTAAAATTTTTGTTTCTATTTAAAATTTAATAATTGTTTAATTTATTTTAATATATTTTAACATATCAAATCAAAATTTCTATTATTATTATTTCACTTTTTATTTTTATTTTAATTATTTTATTTTATTTTTTAATATAACTATTATTATAATATAAATCATATTTTAATAATTACTAAATTATAAAAGTATAATAAATAATATTATTATTTTTAATTAAATTAAATATTTATTAAATTTTAAATAAAAAACAAAACCGTTAGCATATTTAAAATTTTTGTTTCTATTTAAAATTTAATAATTGTTTAATTTATTTTAATATATTTTAACATATCAAATCAAAATTTCTATTATTATTATTTCACTTTTTATTTTTATTTTAATTATTTTATTTTATTTTTTAATATAACTATTATTATAATATAAATCATATTTTAATAATTATTAAAATATAAAATTATATTAAATAATATTTAAATATTAAGGTGGTGCAGAATGACTTTAGTAAGAAGAGAAGAAAATAAAAAGATATTTATTAAAGTGTCATTAACAAGAAAGATAACAAAATAAAAATATTTTTATTAAAGTTAAAAAATAAATTTTTTGAAAAAGTTGAAGATGCAGACTCAGATATTAAAAGGTTAAAAATGGAATTTTGGAGGTGCAGGATGAGATGTTGAAGGTGTAAAATGAAACACTCAAAAACTAGTAACACGGTGTATTGGTTAGCCCATTTAAGCGAAGCCCATATGAATTCACTTGTTTCAGATGTTGTTGCTTTGAGAGTTACTCCCTACACCTCCTTACTTTGCTCCTTGCACAACCACATTTTTTTTAAATTCTAAAAGTATCTTTTATATTTTAAAATATCCTACACCCCCTCCTTTTTTCTTCAACGGATGTCAATGTGTCAATCCGTTAACGAATGTGCCACATCCGTTGAGTTTTTTTTTTTAACTTTTAGTTTTTTAATTTATTGTATTTTAAATTAATATATATATATTATTTAATTTTTTTAAAATTATTACTTAATTATTTATAAATTAATTTTATTTTATTTAATAAAATAATTATTATTAATTTAATTAATATTTTATTATTTAAATAATAAATAAAATATTTTGTAAAAATCTATTAAACGGATGTGGCACATCGATGTGGCTACATACGTTGAAGTTTTTTTTTTTTTTTAAATAAAAATAATAAACTAAAATATAAAATATGTAAACGGATGTCAATATCCGTTGAAGGTGAAATGGACGTTAACATCCGTTTTATAGAAGAACAAATTAAGTATGTGGTAGTGCAGGAAGCAACTCTCTTTTGGTTTTCTTATGCCACTTTTAGGAAAGTGTAATTTTTTTAACAATGATTGGTTTATCTGGGCTTCTACGATAAAGCAATAAATGAAATTGTTCACGGAGGCATCGATTTAATGGCTTTTTTTTATTTGAATTGGATAATTTTATTATGAAATTAAAATGGTGTAATTTATAAAAAAAAAGTGGGGTTAGATAAGTTATGACAAGCATAATTTTATAAGAGATGTGTTATGTCAAAGCGATTTTATTACAACTAAAATGAAGTTATATTAACTTTAAATGATTTATTAAAAAAGTTAAAGTTGAAAAGATATTAGTTCAAATTTTATTTTATTTTAATTTAATTTGAACATTTAATTTAAATTAATATATTAAAGCATTTTTTAACACCAATAACATCATATTTTTAATATAAACCTACTATTTTTTTTATCTAAACACTAACAATTAGCATCTTCTTTTAAATTAATTTCAATTCATCAAATCTGACGAGAAATGTATAATCTTTTACTTTAACTATTATAATTTTGTTTTCTATCTTATCCCATTTATCAAAATTTTCACTAATTTCAAATCTATTAAATTTCACCTCTATCTCCGAAAGTAAACATCATGATAGTACAATATCTGTTTCCTGAAATCCTGGCATGGAGTCTCGTTCAAGCTCATCCTCCACTATATGTTCTAGGCATAAACTTAATAGTGATGATTTAGATTATATAAACGAGATCACATGTTCAACTTTTGAGAATCATAATAATAAAAGATATAATAATTAAAGTTCATATATTCCTATTCCATAATAAAATATTTTTATAAATATCAAATACAACATTTTAACTGCAAATATTCCATTTATTTAAGTTAAGAGATAGGCAAAAGATAATAATAACAGCAACTAAACCCTAAAGCAAAAGCACTTTCATTTTGTGTTTTTCTTATCCTGTTCTCCTAATGCACTTCCGTGTCCTTCAGTTTCTAGCAGAACTCTGATACCAGTTTCGGTGATCTCATTCTCTTCGGTTACATGTTCCACTCTGAAGTTTCTATAGATATCCCCTTTGTAAAATTTTCTAGTTCTCAGAACCAAAACAAACGAAATAAAGCAGGCAAACAGCGTCGCCGCCGTGATTATGACAAACGCCATTCTGTAGCACTGCACTCCAACGCAGTTGAGCTCCTTCCCCGCTTGTCTCGAGAGTCCTTTGGCCTTCAACTGTTTTAAAGCCTCTTTATCATACAAAACACCTGTCAGTCTCACGTTTAGAATGTAAGATCCAACAGGGCTTGCCACGGCTCCAAAGTTGTACAGCGTGGAGTAATGTTTAAGGCCAAATACTTCTGATATGATCGCAAACATTAGCGGCCACTGTGCTCCCAAACAGAACCCTATAATCACGGAAGCGAAGTAGAGGGAATTTGGGGCGCCAAGGGCAATCAGAATATGGCCAACACAAGAGAGAAGCATAACAAGAGTGAGCATGAAGGGACGAGGGGCTTTGTATTTGATCAACAATATCTCAGAGGCAAAACCTGCAACTACCCGTCCCAAATAGTTCCATATGCTTAACAAGGACACACATGTCGTGATGCTCTTCCTCGGATATCCCAATGACCTTCCAATCTGTCCTAGATTGTCTATGGCTGTTAATGCTCCGCCAGCACTAAATATTGTTGCAGCGAACAGAATCAGCATGTCAATACTGAAAAGTGCTTGCAGAATGGTGTAGTCTTCTCCCCTCTTTGGGGGGTTGAGTATGCTCCCGAAACAAGAACTTTTCTCGAGCGAACCTGTTGTTGCCGGTACTTCTTGCTCCACGTTTGGAGGTGGAATAATTTCAGTGACTACTTTCAACTGGGAGGTTGAGTCGGTCACACCTTGAGTTTTGGCTTTCAATTGCTTTATTTCTTCTCTGAATACCACAGCAAGTAGGAGAAGAAGAAGGAAAAGAACCACAACCCCATCGGCTACGAATTCGGGCCTTGTAAAAGTGAGCTTGCTTTACATTATGATCAAAACCATGAGAAACCCAGCAAGGGCAAGTGAAATCCATAGAAGGTGATAGAAAACCTTGTTCTCGTTGGGACGGTGATAGTAAACGTTGTTGAATATCCGAATTGTTGGAAGGAAAAGGAAGTTAACAGCAGCAGGAAGCCACGCAATGAGTAAGATAAGAGCTTGAGGGTTGTGATCACCATAGAAGGCATGGTAGAACTGAGCGATGATTGCTCCACTTAGACCAACGTAACCTTTGAGTAGGCCTAAAAGACTACCACGGCTTCCTGGGAAGTTCTTGACACATGTGACCAAAGCACCAGTGTTGGCAAAGGTTTGAGAATTTGCACCAATGAAAGTGTAGAGACACATTTTCCAAAGTTGGGGTTTGGCAATGCGGCCAGAGACTGCAAGCCATATCATGAAGTAGCCAAAGAAGTTCATAAGAACCCCTATTGAGAGTACCACCCAGGGTGGTGTTACCTCGTTGATCAACCCGGACATGATTCCAACTGTGGCACCCATATCTTTAAAGAAGCCGAGCAAGTTGAGAGTGGTTTGGTCATACCCCAAAGAGGTTTTGACCTCGTTAGAGTACATGCCAAACATATAAACTGAACCTGCAGCAGCCATGATAAGCAAAGATGCATAGAACATGAACCAACGCCCAGCGATAACATGGCAGCTCAAGTTCTTCATTTCTCTCAAACAACCACATGAGAACTCTCCAACCACCATTTTGCATTAATGGGGTTAAACTCTCTTTCTTATGGAGAACCAAGGATACATGGGTGGGGAAATTTATATGAAGAGTCGAAAGTCACACCTAAGTTGTGGAAATTAAGACACTTCAATATTATAATATAATATTTTATTATGAAATGTAGATGTATAAATTCAAACTATAATTTTTTAATATTTTATTGTGTATTTTTACATGTTACTATTTTCTTTTACTTTTCTTTTCTTTTAATATTTTTAAGATCTTTTTTTCACTCTAATAATTTTTAAAAGTTTACTAAATGTGTTCACTTTCACCCTTTATTTAGATTAATTTTCTTTTCACACTAATTCGACGATAATTATTTTTAATTAGTTTTTGTGTATCTCAAACACATATAATGTTTGGTTCTATGCTATCCTCTTCGTCATACTCCCTTTTCGGGAGATGCTTGGTCAAATCTTATTGTTTGTGGGGTGTTTTGTCAATAAATCTTATTGGTCAGTAAAATTATTCTTTAAGAAATAATATTTCACAAATGTATTTGGAAATCTAAATGTAAAGTAATTATGTTAAAAATTTGAGTTTGTATAAATAATTTGTTTGCAAGCAAGTATTTTTACAAAAGAAAACAACATTTTAACAAGAATATAGTAAATCTTTACCCAACATTTTTAGTTTTAGAATAAACTTAACTTTCTTACGTTTTCAATAAAATAATATCACTCCTCCTTTAATTTTTAATTTAATAGTTCCATAAGTTATATTTTTAATAAATATCACTCATATTTTTTATATAGACAAGATTTTTTAATTTATTTAAAAATAACATGTCAAAAAATATTTCAATACAAATTGTATGAATATATATTTTATATGAAATCTAATTATTTAATTATTATTTTTTAACAATATAAAAATTCTATTTTTATTTAACTATGATTTTTATTATATCAAAATATATTATAAAATTATCAAAATATATTTTTATATAAATTTAATATAAGAAAAAATAGAAATAAAATAAAATAATACTTTATTGATAACATAAAATATGTAAATGTTTATTTTAAAATTAGAAAATGTGAATGTAGAATGTATTGACATAATTTTAATTTTTGTTGATAAAATTTTTAAGTTTTAATATTTTAAAACTTTAATTTTATTTTTATAACTATTTTTAGTCATTATGTTATTTAAAATAAAATAAAAATGTGACTGTTACTAGCCAGTGTAATATGCAAGAGAAAAGGACGTGAGATAGTAGGCCATTTTACTTCCTAGACAGAAGGTGGGTTGAACAGTATGATGAAAACGATGGATGAATGGGTAGCTTCCGACTTCACCAATTCATCACTACTTAAAAAAATGATAACATAATATATAAGAATATTGTAATAAATTTGTTTTAAAAATAGTATACTTTTAACTTTTTTTTAATACATGTCCTAAAATCTTAAAATATAAGTATTTTAGGGTATGTTTTTACCCACCTTTGTGTTTTTATTCTGAATATATAAAAATTCTAAACCATTAATTACATAATTTATACAATACAAATTATAATATATATATATATATATATATATATATATATATATATAATATTACTAAAGTAAATTATAAACATATTACTAAATAAAAATATAAGTCACAACATCCACAAAATATCCTTTTCAACTAAAGTATTAGAATGCCCAACGTAATCCATAAAGATGCAACTGGAAAATGGTTGAAGGGACTAAAAAAATCCTGCACTCGTTTACCTTAAATGTTCATAAAATAACATATTTTGCCATTCTCAACGTTCATAGTTGTCGCCATTTCTACCACATAACATTTTTATCCCTTTTTATTTTATTTTATTCATTTTCTTATATATTACGACGCAATAATTACTGATCCCACTTCCTTTTCACATTCATGATTACTAGTGCCATATTGGTGTCATTGGAATATGAGTAGGTTTCAACTTATCCCTTGAAAAATGTTTTTGACCATTTTTTTATAATCTTATTTCAATTTAAAAATGTATAAAACTAAATTAATTTATATAAAAACTAGTTCACAAAACTTCTCTCGTATATTATTTTAAATAATTTTATTTTTTTAATTTAACTATACTAACCTAACTTAAAGAGGTTTTTTCCTAAAAAAATATGAAATTCAAACTATTTGAACTTGTGAAATTGCATGTAGAACGTGTGTACGATGACGAGAATGGTCAAATCCATATATAATCACAAATAATTAATTATCTATGATACTTTCACATAGTAAATATTAAAGTTGTCAAAACGAGTAACTCGACTCGATCCGACTCAATTTACCATAGATTGATCACTTAGTGAGTCAACCCAACCCAGTTCACTTATTAGTTAATTGAAAAAATTCGAATCTGACCAGATCCACCACGAGTTTGTGGATTAAACGGGTTAACTTAATAGCTCATTTAATTATAAGTTTTTTTAAAATAAAAAATTATAATTTTTTTTAATTCAAAATCTAAAAAAAAGCCACACTAAAATGATATTAAACTCCAGAGATAATTCAAAATCATAAAAAAAAAATATCATACAGTTCAAACTTAATCCAAAAACATGTACAAAAGCGAACAAATAAGTTTTTAATATTGATAATTTTTGTATCACTTATCCATTTATAATATTAGAGTTTTGAATAGATAAATCTATAATATTTTTCTATCTTGAAACATCTTTTTTTTATCACCATCTACAATATAATAAAAAAAATGATAACTAATAATATTGAAACACAAAAATAATAATAATAAAATTAAATTAAGTGGGTTGGTGAGCCAACTCGGATCATCACTGGTTCAACCCAGTGAGCCGGGTTGAAAACTAACCCGTATAAAAAAATTACATTTTTTTCAAACCCAACCCGGCTCAAACTCATGATAAGTCGGGTTGGCTCGCAGGTTACAACCTATTTTGACAGTACTAGTAAATATTTTTACATTCATTTGATATTGTTTCTTATTTTTACTTTTTTTAAAATATAAAAATTTATTTTTTTATAACTATTTTACTATATATATCAAATAAATATAAAACTATATTATCATCCCATTATTTTTTATTATTTACATGAATGAGTTAATGTATGGCGACATCTCTTATACCTTGTGTTAAATTATTTTTTTTCTAATTTAAAGTATTTTTATTGAATGCAAAAACAATCTTAAAATACTATCCATATTTACTTTCAATAATTTTTCTTTTGACCTCGGGCTATGTAAATATTAGGGAATGGCTCTTATGGCCTCACATCAAACTTAAGTTAAAAGAAATTAAATTTTCTAAATTATTTGATAAAAAATGTTAAATTTTAATTCACTCATTAATATTAATGCTATTATTATTTAGGACTATGTATAGTATAATGATTCAATTATTATTGCTATTAGAACAGGCCCAACACTGTGCACTTGCAACGTTGGTGGCCCAATTCCTTTCCTGGCCCATATGGCATGTTAATCTGAAAGTGGGTTGCGTGCGTGGCATAACGCAGAAAAGAAATATCGAGAGAGAGAAAGATGAGACGGAGAGCGAGAGGCGATGAAGGTGGAAGGGAACGGCGACTCCCTCAACGGCGGCCTGAAGCGTTGGTGGCCGGAGCACCAGAAGAAGAAAATGTAGATCGGAAAATGGTAAGTAATGCAAACTGAATATTTCTTTATTCTGTTAAAAGTAATAAAGTCTGAATACATTGACGTTAAGGGAAAAAGGGGAAAGGAACCCTATATATATAGGATTCCATGAAAGGGGGGAAAAACCGAACAGACACACAAAATAAGTTAACTGTTGAAAAACAGTTAAGAGAATCAACAGTGATTCTCAATAGCCTCCCCTCAAGCTGGACAGTGTATGTTTACCAGTCCAAGCTTGGGAATAATGGTTCCAAACTTGACACGATGCGGAAATTTCGTGAAG